ACAGAGCTCGGGTGCGTGCGTTAGAGGAGTTAGGGCTTAAAGAGGAAAGGGGAAACGGGGTAAAATGATTAATTAATATATATATAAATATATATATATAAACATATATATATATATAGATATATATTAATTAAAACACAATTTACTCGCGCGCGGCGACGCGACAAAATGGGTGTCCTCCTCGGGCAAAATCAACGTTCCGGACGCGTTGGCGCAGTCCGTTTCGTCATCCGTGGTCGCTCGGACGACGTCGTCGACAATCGGGTCAAAAACGCGTTGAAATTCAAATTTTACAAAATTTCGACCCGCGATCGATCGTCCCAAACGGTTTAATTGAGCATTCGACAAGTAACAATGCAGGCAATGCGAATTGCGGCGATCGGACGTATCGACTCTCCGAATTGCGAAGCTTGTGCGCGCGGGAGTGCGAATTGTGCAAAATGCCACCCTAAGGCTCAGGAAGGTCCTATAGGGAATCCCTTTTGGGTTTCCTCATGTTGGTTTCGTCCTTCTAAGTGCTAGAAGTTGATACCACACACGCGAAACTCCAGAAGGGGACGGAAGCGGGTCAAACTAAAACGAGGCGGGTCCCACTTCTAAGGTTCTAAGATAGTCGAAGGGAGATTCCTAAGGCTAGATCCTAAACCCTAAGCGGAAGACTAGACCTCACGAAAATTGAGGTCAACAGTGTTGGTTTCATGGACATCTGAATTTAGGGAAGAAATTTTTTCCTGATTATATGTATTACTATTAGGGAGTAAATCTATTTCGTTTTTCTTCTCACTATTGAAGTCGTGATTGTTGCCTTTGATCCTTCACCATTTTTGGCAAACAATTTTCCAAACAAGCTAAGAAAAATATATTTGCACTTGTGTTGGTATCATGTACATTAGAATTTAGGGAAGAATTTCTTTTCACCCTAATTATATGTATGATTATGTGGTTTCTTAAATAGTAGATTTATTTCTCTTATTTCTCTTTTCTCCTCACAGATGTAGGTCATGTCAAAACCATATAAATATTAAAGCCTTGCGGCCATTGATCCTTTACTACGTTTCGTGTTCATTGATTTCATCCTAACAGGCATCTTTGCATAAGCAAACAATTTTCCAAACAAGGCTATAAAAATCTCTCATTATAACAACATGAACTCTACATTGCTCCAAACCTCACCCTAGGTGGTTTAATTAAGTTCATAGGTAAAGTTTGAATCTGATTAGAATTTAATCCAACCTAACTATACATGTCCAATTTCAATCTGTTTATTAATCAAGTCAAAAAATCTAGCGCAAAGTTGACCCGCTTTTAACCCAACTAACTCAAACCTAACCCATGTAAACTATTTAGCATAAGACATAACAGTCCTTACACTAAATTTTGGTTTAGCAGGTAAACCAACCCAAAAAATTGAACTTATGAGAATTTTAGACCAAAATATGATCCAAAAGTTGATCCGATCAACCCAAACCTAGAATTTATTTTACTGAGGTTCAGCTTGGGTTATTGTGTCAGGTAATTATTGACATCTCTACCCTCCCCCCTCCACCGACAAAGAGAAGGATACTAATAATTAGGCATTCCTTGTTAAAAAATACAACAAATTTTCAAAATTTTAAACTATAAAATACATAATAGAGATATTTGAGCTCATTCAGAAGCTATCAAAATGATACCTACCTAACATAAAATAATCATACGGTTAATAGATATCAAGCACAATAAGCTCATGTCTTTCCTTAATCTAAATTTCATGATCAAATTTGATATTTGGCACTTGTGTTGGTACCATGTACATTAGAATTTAGGGAAGAATTTCTTTTCACCCTAATTATATGTATGATTATGTGGTTTCTTAAATAGTAGATTTATTTCTCTTATTTCTCTTTTCTCCTCACAGATGTAGGTCATGTCAAAACAATATAAATATTAAAGCCTTGCGGCCATTGATCCTTTACTACGTTTCGTGTTCATTGATTTCATCCTAACAGCATCTTTGCATAAGAAAACAATTTTCCAAACAAGGTTATAAAAATCTCTCGTTATAACAACATGAACTCTACATTGCTCCAAAGTCCAAACCTCACCCTAGGTGGTTTAATTAAGTTAATAGGTCAAGTTTGAATCTGATTAGAATTTAATCCAACCTAACTATACATGACCAATTTCAATCCGTTTATTAATCAACTCAAAAAATCTAGCACAAAGTTGACCCGCTTTTAACCCAACTGACTCAAACCTAACCCATGTAAACTATTTAGCATATGACATAACAGTCCTTACAGTAAATTTTGGTTTAGCATGTAAACCAACCCAAAAAATTGAACTTATGAGAATTTTAGACCAAAATATGATCCAAAATTTAATCCGATCAACCCAAACCTAGAATTTATTTTAGTGAGGTTTAGGTTGGGTTATTGTGTCGGATAATTATTGACATCTCTACCCTCTACCTTCCACCGACAAAAAACAAGGATACTAATAATTAGGCATTCCTTGTTAAGAAATACAACAAATTTTCAAAATTTTAAACTATAAAATATATAATAGAGATATTTGAGCTCATTCAGAAGCTATCAAAATGATACCTACCTAACATAAAATAATCATACGGTTAATAGATATCAAGCACAATAAGCTCATGTCTTCCCTTAATCTAAATTTCATGATCAAATTTGATATTTAGCATGTTACAATAAAAAAATTTAAAATAGGATCATGAATAAACTGAACTCCATGCAAAACTAATTTTTCTTCACTCATACCAAAAGTCAGGTCATGTTTAAAATTGTAGAACTAGACCCTTGCATTTCATGCATTGTTCATGAAGACTGACTTACCTTGCTGTATTGATCCCATTATTGATATCAAGTGCGTCACGCTGCCCACTTCAGTTGAGCTTGCAGTTGTGGAAGAAAATTTTGCCACACTCACAAAAAAAAAACACTAATTCATGCAGAGAAGTACTACAACTACTTTTATCTTATCAAAACACAGTATGTCAAAATGATCAGAGTTTTTTTAAACAAAATAAAAAGGAGATTGTGCTGTAATGAAACGCAAGCAAAGATCAAGACTTGTACTCGATTTAGATGTTAAGAAGCATGTCATACCAAAAATAAATTGCTAGAACGTGGAATAATAACTTTAAAAACTGAAAACTCAGTTGATTCAATATGATTGAAGAAACAAAATCAAAATAAAGATATCATTAAAAAGAAAAAATCAAAATAAAGATAGGACAGCAACTTTCAAGGCAAAGCAGTGTCTACCTCAGCCATTTTCTGAATCATGGTCATTGGTTCAAAAATTATCACGGGAAGCGTCACCAATGACGTAACATCTGCTCCAATATAGTTCTGCATCATCTTCCAATAACCATCCCTGTCCTACAAAAAGGAATCACAAGCACTAATTCAACACAAGAAAAAGTGTGTTGTCATGCAAGATATAAAATTTGACATTATTGTCCTCCAGATTTTATAAATCGCTATAAAACAATAAAGAAAAATACTGTTAGTGAGATGATAAGATTGGTGAGAACTTCAATTACGTTCTAAATATTTACAAAATGATAGAAGCTTGCTGAAGATTCACTTTAAAGCTTAAACATTTTTTTCTGGAGGAACACTTCACAAGTTTTTTCTCTTCATTAAGAAATTGCCTAATTTTACTACCGAAACCATTCTATTAAATTTTAACAAGAATTCAACTTTTAAGTGTATTCATAGATAACTAGTAATTATTATTGTTACATACGCAAAAAAAATATAGTTTACAATATTTGTTAATTAATAATCATGTTTATTTTCATTATTTAACTAATTGAAGTTACATTCTAAGCTGTTTTCACCATCATGGTTCATCTAACAGTCTAGATAAATTTACATAAGAGCACAAATAGCACAATAAAAAATAAAACAAGATAATATTGCAAATAGGCCTGAAACTATTATATGCAAATATAGAAAGAAATGAAAGAAAACACACGCCATGGAGAGAAGGTTGAACATTACCGAAAAAAAAAAAAAAAACAAGTAAAACAACGTCAATAGTGCACAAAAAAACAAGTGAAGCATTAGAAATTCCTACCCTAACAAAATCCCCAAAAATATACATTTATGCTTTTGCTAATAAGCTAAATACCATGAAGTTTGATCTTTTACGTCTCCATAGATCAGTTCAATCGGATATCATATATGAAATATTGATATGTACCAAAAAAATAAAGAAGATTTACATGGATACCACACTCTCTCACCTGGTTTTCTAAATCACTTTAAAATAATAAAGAAAAATATTGTTAGTGAGATGATAAGATTTGTGACCACTTCAATTATGTTCTAAATATTTACAAAATGATAGAAGCTTGCTAAATATTCACCTTAAAGCTAATACTTTTTTTCTGTAGGAACTTTACAGTTTTTTTCTCTTCATTAAAAAATTGCCTATTTTGGCTACCTAAATCATTCTATTAAATTTTAACAAGTACTGAACTTTTAAACGTAACGTTGACATTGTCGGTCTCAAGGCCGGATGTGAAAAGTGGAGGGTTGCGTTAGGTAGTCGACAACCAACGTAAAACTTGTCGAAAAAATCATGACATGAATCTTTTTGATCATCGTGTAAGTGTTAGGGCGTCCCCTGGAAGCGACGCACTGTATAACCTGAATACAGTGAAAAGTGTACAAGGGCCGCTACACCGGCGCCCGGGCGTAGTGACAAATAAGCAAGGGTTCCCGCATTACGAACGGATGCGGGTAAAGAAGATAGTCCATGAAACTAATAAAACTAATATTATCATAATATCTTGAAATATAGGTACTCTCAATGGTAAATTAATGAAATTAATTGATGTTATGATTCATAGAGAGATTAATATCTTATGTATTCAAGAAACTAAATGGGTTGGAGAATAGGCTTAGGAGATTGATAACTTAGGTTTTAAACTTTGGTATTCTGATAAGAGTCGCACTAGAAATGGTGTAGGTGTAATTATAGATAAGAGTTTGAAAAATAATGTTGTAAAAATTAATAGAGTTGGAGATAGAATTATAACCCTTAAGATTATCATCGATACTAAGAATTTTAATATTATAAGTGTTTATGCTCCTCCAGTAAGTTTATATATAGAATCTACAGATAAATTCTGGAATGACTTAGAAGACTTAATACAAATGATACCTCTTGAAGAAATAATTTTTTTTAGAGGTGATTTAAATGGACATGTAGGTGGAGTGGTAGAAGATTTCAGAAATATTAATGGTGGCTACGGTTTTGGAGTGACTAATAAAGAAGGTAGAGCTATTTTAGATTTTGCTTTAGCATATGATTTTGTTATTATTAATACTTTATTTAAGAAAAGAGACGAGCATCTTATTACTTATAAGAATGGATCTAATAAAACACAAATTGATTATTTTCTTATAAGAAAAAGAGAACGCCGAGATTGTAAAGATTGTAAGGTCATTCCAAGTGAAGATTTAAGTACTCAACATCGTTTATTAGTTATAGATTTAAAGATAAAGAGTTGTAAAATAAAGAATACTATGACTCATCATCGTAGAATTAGATGGCGAAACTTAAAAGACAAATAAAATTATTTTTATGAGTAAAATTCAAGATTTCAAAATTTGGGATGTTCTTCAAGAAACAAATGCTATGTGAGATAAGATAACAAATACTATTAAACAAGCAGCAAAAGATGTACTTGGAGAATTAAAAGAAAAAGTTTCTATAAATAAAAGTAGTTGATGGTGGAATAATAATGTGCAAGAAAAGAAAAAACATAAGAAGTTATGTTATAAAAATTGATTTAAATGCAAAAGCTTAGAGAATTGAGAAAAATATAAAACGGTTCGCAAGGAGTCTAAAAGAACAATTTGTTATGCTAAAAATTTTGCTTTTAATGATCTTTATAGATTAGATACTAAGGAGGGTGAAAAACATATGTATAAACTAGCCAAACAAAGAGAAAAGAAAAGTAAAGGTTTAACTCAAGTAAAGTGTATTAAAGATGAAAATCAAAAAGTATTTTTCTTAGAAAAATATATTTAGTATAGGTGGGTGAGTTATTTTGATAAACTTTTTAATGAAGTTTCTAAAAATATGATCGACCTTAGAATCTTAATATCGTTAATAATAATAAAATGTTTCATTTTTTTCGTCGCATTAGTAAAAAAGAAGTTGATGAGGCTTTAAAGAAAACTAAGTGTAGAAAGTTTGTAAGACCTGATGATATCCCAATTGAAGTGTGGAAATACTTAGGAGATTTGGAAGTTTCTAGGCTTACTAAACTCTTTAATATTATTTTAAAAACTAAAAAGATGCCTGAGAAGTGGAGGAAGAGTATTTTAATCCCTATTTTTAAGAATAAATGGGATGCACAAGAGTGTGCAAATTATTGAGGATGCAAATTATTGCAAATTATTGAGGAATTAAGTTAATGTGTCATACTTTAAAATTATGGGAGAGAGTAATTGAATATAGGTTAAGACCTCATAATTATAGAAAAAGCTTACGATAATGTTCCAAGAGATCCTTTGGAGAATTCTTGAGAAGAAAGGTGTTGACATGACTTTTATTCAATTCATTAAGGATATGTATACTAGAGTTGTTACTTGTGTTCGAACTGAAGGAGGATTGACCAAATATTTTCCTATTTCTGTTGGATTACATTAGGGATTGGCTTTAAGCTCATATCTTTTTGTTTTAGTTATAGATGGTCTTACTGGACATTTACAGGAGGATGTACCCAGGTGTATGTTTTTTGCTGATGATATCGTTCTCATGGATAGGATGAGAGAAAAAGCCCAGGAAAAACTTGAATTATGGAGGTCTACATTGGAGTCTAAAGGCCTTCATTAGAGTAGAACGAAAACTAAATACATGGAATGTAATTTTAGTAGTAATAGCTCTAGTGAGAGAAGTGTAACGTTGGGCGATAAAATTATTAAAATGTGTGAACAATTTAGATATCTTGGGTCTGTTGTTCAAAGCGATGGTGATATAGATGGGGATGTTAATAGTAGAATTCAAGTTGGTTGGTTGAAGTGGAGGAATGCTTCTGGCCTTTTGTGTGATAAAAAAGTTCCGCTTAGACTGAAAGGAAAATTTTATAAGATGGTGGTTAGACCTGCAATGCTCTATGGTGTTGAATGTTGGCATTTAAAAGAGAAACATAATACCAAGTTAAGTGTAGTCGAGATGAGAATGATTAGGTGGATGAGTGCCTCTACACTAAGAGACAAAATGCAAAATGAATATATTCGTGATAGGGGTGATAGGGTTGGTGTAGTGGTGTAGTTCCTGTGACGAACAAAATTAGAGAAAGTCGTCTTAGACGGTTTGTTCACATTAAACGTCGACCATCTGATGATCTGATTAGGAGAGTAGATGTTTTAAATTTGACTTATGTTAAGAAAGGTGAAGGTAGACGTAGGAAGACTTGGGCTTATTGTATAAAAAATGATCTTAATTTATTAGAACTAGATGAAAATATGACACTAAATATGACGCAATGGAGAAAAAAGATTCCAGTAGACAACCCCATGTAGTGGGATTAACGATTTGTTGTTGTTGTTGTTGTATTGAACTTTTAAATGTATTCATAGATAATTATTAAATATCATTCTTACATCAGCACACTAATATAGTTTAGAATATTTGTTAATTCATAATCATGTTAATATTATTTTCATTAATGTACTTTCAAAGTTGTTTTTACCAACTCGGTTCATCTACTAGTGTAGACCAATTTACATCGAATAGCACGATAAAAAATAACATGAGATAACATTGTAAATAGGCACTGAAACTGTTTCATGCAAAGATAGAAAGAAACGAAAGAAAAAATACACCATAAAGAGAAAATTGAACATTACAAAAAAATAAAAAATATAAAAACAAGTAAAACTACGTCAATAGTGCACAAATAAAAAGGGCAACGTTAAAAATTCCTACCCTAATACATTCCAAAAAAGATATACAATTATTTATTTGTAAATAAGCTAAATACCATGAAGTTTGATCTTTTACATCTCCATAGATTACTTCAGTCAGCTATCATCTATGAAATATTGATATGGACCAAAAAAAAAGGAAGATTTACATGGACACCCCTCAATTCTTATAAATTTACATATCTAACACCTAAACTTCACCCTTTACATATAACCTATGAATAAAATGTGTATTTTACTTTTTTTTTAAGTGAAGACGGTGCTACTTTTGATGTGATATGAAAGATTTGGGTGGCATAAATATAAAAATCAAAGTTTAGGTTTTGGATATGTAAACACATAAAAGTTGGGCCGTATTTATGTAAATGCCTCAAAAAAGAATAGTAAGCAAAATGATACCTTGAAAACAATTATAATTTCCAATCATAAACAAATTTGGAGAAAAAGAATTGCCAAGTATAAATATATGACAGTGAAGCCCAAGAAGGAATCTATATAAAAGCATAAACTAGAATCATTTGGTATAAATGTAAGCTAAATTATAGAAGCATTAGTCAACAATACACAAGTTAAATAACACCCAAGGAAACAATAAACTAATAAATCAACTAAATAAATGCTTTAAGAAATATGTCTACAACGTTAACAACATCATAATGAGATAAAAGTAACACCTCTTTCTTCCATCTTCCTCTTTCTGCCTCAGCTTCTGCATCCTCTGTGCCTCCTTCGGGATTAATAACTTCGAGGCCTTCATAACCCAACAACCTAAAACACGTAAAGCCCATGCAAACATAAATTTGTATACCTTCATCTCAACTTAACCAACTTAGTAAAGTTAAAATTCCCAATTTTGTGTTTATTATATTCTAATGTGCAACAAGAAAACACTAAACAATGAAAATGCAAGATATTGGACTAACAAAATAGTTTAACTAATTAGATAAACAGCAGTAAAGGGAAGCACAATAGTTGTAATGCATTAACTAGCTTGGTTTACAGACATTTCACAAGATATCAAAAGAAAATTTCATAAAAATATTTTCCTTTTATATTTCAATTTTTTAATGAAAATCTCAAAACATAACAGGCTGTTCATAAAGACAATATTGCAATATCTGCAAACATAGATATTTTAATGTTTATTGTATAATGTATTAGAAATCTAATGTTTATATAACTTAAAAACAGGCTCATTCTTTAACCTCTTTTAACTTTCATTTCCATGACAACAGTTAACAAATCCTCCATTTTCTTCATTGATACACTATAGCTACAAAAAATATGCCAACAAACTGAAGATAACAGCCATGATAGTGACGCATTGCTAAAAACTTTACAAATAAGTTTAATCGGAAGCAAAGAAAAACTGACAGTGAATATCAGTTCAGAAAACATGTTCGTGATAAACTCTTAAAGAACAGACTTCTAAAACAAAGTTCAGAAAGGGAAAGGCATTGACCTCTAAATAGCAATTAGAAATCTATAAAATTTTTGGAGCAATCTGAAAATTAGCAATGACAAGCAGTATTCTGAAAAGCCACGGGCCATCCTCAATTCTTTACTAGTAAGTTTACAAAAGGAAATGCAGTGTTCATAAATTTTCCTGCATGAGGGTATTCAAATCAACATTTTTTAATGGAGAAATATAGTACATAAACTAAACAAAACAAATTAACATCAAATTTTTTAGCAAAATTCTATTTCAAAAAGAGTTCATCACACAATATCATTCTAAATGTCATGTTTGATCTTTAAGTTGATGAGGCATTGTCAGAAGGAAACAAACTCTGTGTAAGGCAACAGCAGTATTATACCTGTCTTCTATGTAGTCACCGAAAGGATTTCAATGAAGAAATAAAAACAAAAGAAAATATTAAAAGTAGAATGGGGGAATGAAGAAGAATGCAGAGTTGGACACATAGCAGACAACAGATCCACAGAATAGCCTACCAAACTGCTTATGCGAGATAGAATTAGTTGAAAAGATGACGAACTAATTAAAATAAGGAAGCAAAGTTCTCATTTGGCCGCAACGCAGATCGCTTGTGTGCGTGCGTGTGTGCGTGCGTGTGTGCGGGCGTGTGTGCGGGCGTGCCTGTGTCGAAACAAATCATTTGTAGTTGCCTGTGAAAGCAAACAAACAGTTGGATACATAACTGATCGAACGCATTAGCAACAGTTGACTATATCATGCAAGTAAATTCTGATCAATTATATCGCCAACAGCAATACAGTCAATCTGTTATTGGAAGAGGCACATATCTAGAAATAAAATTAAACAGAAGAAAACATCGCATCCATCCATACGCTCAAGCACAATACAACAGACGCAATCACAAATCTAATTTGCAAGTACTCATACGCGAATATAACAATTCTCTGAATATTAATGGATCTAGAACAGCTCCTTACCCTGAAACAGATTTCTGCACAGCGCTACCCCAAAACTTCACACTTGAAGATATCGCCGAGAAGAATCCGCCGCCTTCCGACTTCTCCTCCTTCGAACTCATCGCTGAAACCCTGATTTAAGGAGAAACCGGCAAAGACACTCTCAAGCGACAGAATCCCTAAGCTTCCGATCCCACCGATGTAAACGATGAAGATGCGAGAATTATATAACACTAATAGATTCGATAGGACTGGAATGGGAGAAGACAAACTCATGTAATGCGAAATGAAACGAAAGAGGCAAGAAGTAAAGAGAAATTGGCGCGGCGTGGCGTGGCGTGGCCGGGTTGACGGCCAAATGACGACCAGAAGGTCAAAAAAAATTTTGAGAATTGGTTGACTGAAATGACGGTTTTGCCACCGCTGAATGACCCAGCGTGACCTGATAATTTGACTATCATGTTTCCTAAACAGAATAATAGATTCACTCTTGAATACATTTTATACATAATATTTAGCTTATGTTGATCGAAGGTACAGTCTACCTACCGATTGGTAAGAAACTCCTTGATAAACATTTTCTATTGCGAACCGATCTTTTCATGTTGATTCAAATTTGCTGCTAATTTTTCAATGGTTTAAAATTGGACTTTTGAGGACTAGAACCAAAATCACCTATACGAAAGGTTAATTTATTGTGTGCTTGAATCATTAGTAATTAATATAGCTCGAGAATATGCTTTGCTATCAGGCAAACTTCGTCCAACCCTTCTAGTTGCTCTCATTGTAATTAGATGCTATGGGGAATTTGCCCTTAATGTCACAATTATAAATGAGGGAAGTTGAATTTCTAGGGAAAGCCTGGCTTCAAACCCATAAACAAATGAAAAAGGAGCAAATTTTGGAGTTCACTGTGTAGTTGTGGCCCATAGCGTTTTTATTAGTTGTTTATGCCATTGTCTTTTGTTTCGATTTGGCATTTTCTTCAAAATTTAGACTGGTGTTTTAGTAAAAGCTTTAACTAACGGATTTGGTCGAGGGTAGTAAATGGTCGAATAAGGCCAATCAATGTTTTGTCAATTCACGAAGTTATTGAATTTGGTACTTTTGAAGGCAAGACCATCATCAGATATAATTTTTTGATGGATTCCAAATCTATATATGATATGGATCTTGAAGAAGTGGAGTACTTGGTAAGCTTTAACTACTTTTAATGTTATAGCCTCTCACTATTAAAGAAGTAGTATGTTGCAGCTAATATAAACATATGTCCATTGAATGAGGGAAGATCAGTAGGTCCTATTATGTCTATGCCTCCAACATTCAAAGGGCGAGGAAGCAATCGTTAGGTGTAGTACATTGGGAGGTTGATGTAGGACTACCACATGTACTTTACATTGGTGAAAACGCCAATCAATCCCCATGCAATAATTGATCATCTTTCTTCAATAATATCACATTCTTCTAATCTTTACTTTCATCTTAGGACTTGATTGATGGGCATCACATAATACAGAGTGTAATTCCTTAACAATCATCTGAACTTGTTATTTGTTTAAGCCTCATAACAACATATGATCAAAAGATCTTTAGTAAAGTGTATCATTTATGAGTGTAAAAAACAAAGCTTTTGACTTTATCTGATGAGCAAGAGATTTATAATTAAGAAGGTTTCCCTCACGCAAATATTCTATGAAAAGATTTCGTCAATATGTGCCTTCCTCTTCATGTGTTGTTGTGGTAAACTATTTTTCAAAGTTTGATTTGTTTAGGTATTTCATATTGATTGGGGAGAGGAACGAACAACCTTGTACTCTAAATGGGATAGAATCTTCCTCTATATAGACAATTACCTTAGCTAGCCTTACTAAAGCACCTGCAATGGTATTACTATCACACGATATTATGTATAAGGTAATGTCTGGTATCTGCTTAAATAATTTCATGTTGTGTTGATAATACAAATGAAACTTGGGTTTTAAGGACTGATATGTTCCAATAATTTGGTTAATCACCAATTATGAATCTAGAAAGATTTTGATCTTTTTTATTTCCATTGTAATTGTCAAATGTAAACCAAAGATCAAAGCATCATATTCAACTTAATTGTTGGTTTATGGCTTTGATAAGTGATATGTTAATCCCAACTGTCCCCAAATAGGAGTTATAAAGATTAGCCCAATTCCTGCTTTGTCCAGGGAGGTCACATGTGAGTTAACATCTTTCTTGAGCTTGTACAATGCTATCTGGAAGGCCGACAAGATGGTCAATGATTCTATTATAGTTTGATGTAACTTATGTTCCCTTAAGTGCCATCAAATTTCAATCCCTAGCTGATTTCTTACCTGCGTACCTATTATGAGTGTAATCTTTCCCTTCCACATCAACTTGAGCTAATAAGGCACTAAGAAATTCATCTAAGAAAATAGTGTATAATATCATTTGTTGCCCTAAGAGGGGTGCCGCTAATATAAAAGGTGTTGTTAAATATTATTTTAATTTTTTAAATTCCTTTTGGCACTTATCACCCTAAAAAAATTTGGCTTTTTTTTTATTGATATTAAAATGTTGAAATCTTCCAAAGGTTAGAGATAAAGTGTCTCTGATATGTCAGCTTACCTTGACATGATCTCAATTAAGTTAAGGTTTAAGGAGGTGGCACTTATAAATCGCTTTGATCTTTTCAGGATCTATCTCTATGATGTCATTATATGAATCTTAGAAATTTCCTTGAAGCTATGCCAAATGAACATTGTAAGGGATTCACTTAAGATAATTGAGAAGTTGCCAATTAAATACAATTCTTAAGTCATATAAGAAATCTTTCTTGTCTCTGCTTTTGATTACTTGGTCATCAATGTAATGTCCAACTTGTTCATGTATCAACTCAACAAGGATTTTGAGACCTGTTAGTAAGTGGTGCAGCATTTTTTAGACTAAATGGCATGAATTTATAATGAAACACTTTAATAGGCATCTTGAATATTGTATTTTTCTCCTCCTCCAAAGCCAATTTGATTTGGTCGTAACCTGAAGAACCATCCATAAATGAAAATATCACATGTGAGAGGCAATGTTGGCCATTAGCTTTGGTATGGGTAGTGGGAATTCACCTCCAGGACACACCTTATTTATGTCTCCAAAATCTATACATATGCGGATTTATCCTCCCCACCCACCCCCCCACCCCCCACTTTTTTAAGTGGCATGGCCTTGGCCAACCATGCAGGGTACTTTTCTTTTAGTATAAAGCTAGCTTCGATCATCTTTTGGACTTTGATGGTGGCTTGCTGTTTAATTTTTAATCTCATTCTTCTGAGAGCTTATTTAATTTTTGTAAATTTTGGTTATATTTCATGTTTATGAATTGCCACGTTACGAGACAATCTAAGCATCTTCTCAATACTCCAAGAAAAATAATTTTTATATTCCATTAGTAACTAAATAAGGTCATCAGCCTCCTTCTCATCCAAGAGATAACCGTTTTGGAAGAAAGCCAGTTTGGTTTATCCCAAGTTCTTAGATTTAATTCATTAATTGTTTACTTGATATCTTCTTTTAGTTCAAGTGGTGTATGTTCAACTGAAAGATCATATAATCCTTCTGAATTTTCCAAAAAAAATCCATCAGCATGGTGATTACTTTTTAAATAAAATACTTTGTGTTCTAGATGACCTGTAATGACCATACAATAATCCTTATCATCCAATGGCTCTATGGTAGCGAATCCAACATTGGCACTTGGCTTATCTCTCTTACACTTAGTATTGCAAAGGCTTGCAAAATTGTGTGTTTTTTCTTTTTATACTAGGTATGCAGAATCAAGCCTTGTTCAACCAACTTTGATACAAAACGTGAAAAAAAATCAAAGGAAATTTTCATTAATTTGGTGAAATCACAGTCTTTGAATTGAATGTCTGTCTCTGGGCTTGTAGATGAAGACCCGTGATAGAATTTTTGTTCTTGATATCCAACAAGCTAGGGTGCAACCATGACCATCAACCTAGCCAAAATTTTTTTAGGATAACAAGTAAATACATATTAATTAATATTTTTTGCTTGCTAAAGCTTCGGACTTGTCTTCTTCTGTAACCATTATTCCTTCTTCTATTTCATCTTTTTCTAGAGTTTTTTTTTTTCATGGAATAACATACCGCCATATAATGCTGACTTATCCTCTGCGTTGGATACAAAGTCAATGTACACTGGAGGTATTTCATTCTCCATATTTTATTTTGCTATGTAGACTATGTTTGTATTATCACAAATTTGTAAGTTTTAAAAATTATTCGATCGTCTTACTAAGACCCGCAGTTGATCTTCATTAGTTGAAGGCATGTTTTCTTTTTCTCCATAATTTTCTTTGATTTCCATTTATATTTCTATTGTAGCATTTTCTTTCCCCATTTTGATATTTTCCCCATGTATAGTTATTTCTTCCTTTTTATTTTCATTCTATTTTAAACTTGTGGTTACAGATATTTCTCTAAGAAAGTGATTTGATTCTTTGGTGCATAATAGGCTGCATGATCATAGATTCTAACCTCATGCACAAAGAATGGTTGTAGATCACCTTTGATGCAGTGTTTGATGCCATCATGATAGTATTTAAGGCATTGATGAAGAGATGATTGAGCTATTCTATGTTCATGAAGCTAAAGTCTTCCAATGACTGCATTGAAAGATGTTTCTAAGTGATGTGGAATTTTGCTTCAATTTAAAAGTCCCCAGTTTTAAGAAGATGTGCTATTGGACCAGGTGCTCTTTCACCATTTTTCATTAAATCCTCGTAGTAACATTTTTTTTTATGAAAGTTTGTGTGTTTCCACCTTAATTTATGCAAGCATTTTTAGATTCAATATATTGACAGATGCACCTGGATTAATAAAAACTCTAAATAACTTAAATCACCCAACTTTTATAGAGTTGTAAAGTGGTCGATCATTGTTTCCTATTCCTAGCAAAAGATTTTCATCAGTAAATGTTAGCTTAAGATCTTTGCTAGAATTGTTTACTTCCTCTTATGAGGCAAGAGGTATTAATTGGGTCATGTAATTATTGGGATCCTGTAGGGCTTTAACCAATGATTTTCTCTTTTCTCTGGATAGAATAATGGCATCATAAATGTTGAGTTTGGCTGTCAATTTTCTTAGATAAGACAATATATTATA